TGCTCTTGTTTCTGCAGTCCTATATAGGGATCTCTTTACACTGCATTTGCTTATGAACATGCCACTTAGTCAAGATTTGGCTAATTTGGTCTTCTACGAAGCAAATGATAAACACTTTTAGGTGCTGTGGGATTTAAAGACAACTAAAAATTTCTTTTTTCTTTTGTTTCACATAAGCAAAAAATCACCTTTGACTAGTGAAATACAGCACCCATGTGAAAAGCCAGCTCTGTAACAGTGAGACATGGTTCTAGTGAGGATGATTGTATATTTGGGATTAAAATGCAGAGGATGAAATTTTGTTTCCTGAATTTGTTCCCAAAAGATTAGCAAATATTTAAGTGCTTACATAAAGGAAATTAAAATAATACTTTTTACTTTAAATTTCAGATGAGCTTACTGTGTTGATATTCCAGTGTTTTTATTAATAATAAACACATTTAATAAAAATAACCTAAAAATATTTGAACTGTAGTATATATACTCACAATTTGGAACTATAAAAATTCAAAATACATCTGAGATCAAATCCTGATCTGTAAACATAAAGTTTTTCAGGTTTCTTAAATATCAGCCTCATGAGAATGAGCAGCTGCCTCAGCAAAATAGTGTGCCTCGTGTTCTTGACAGTGGCTTGCGAGTGCTGGAGGATGGCTGTGTGGGTGGGTGATGATGTGTGGGTCTGCGTGAAACTCTCGCATCTGCCTGTTTGCTTTTCAGTTCTGAGGGAGAGGCATTAAGTTTTTGCTATAAAGGTTTTCTTCCACAAGGTTGGACCGAGATTTGGATCGCCACTAGTGTTGCCTCTCATAATGTACATCAGGCAAAGATTTCTTTTGGGGGGGAACATTCATGGTAATTGTGCAGTATTCCCAGGATCTCACATTACAGTCAAGATCTACTGACTGATATTACTGTTCTTTGTTATCAAATCAATGGGAGCATCTGAAAAACAAATACCATATGCTTGAAAGTATCATAAAATGTGATTTCTTGCAGTTGGTCACAGTCAGATATGTATAGCTTTAGATTTGGGTTTATTAAATCCATCGAGCACTAAAGGACGGAGGCATTCATAGAGGTATGTGGGAGCCGTTCACTCCGAAAAGTGACTCAGAAGCCAACTTGGGGATGTAATTCTGAGATTGAATTCCAGTTCTGTCATTAATTGAACAAATGCAGGACATGCTCAGATAAAAGTTGAGAAGATAAGTTACTTCCTTTTTTGGCTGTGTTAGGACTGCAAGATTGGTGTTTTTAGGTATGTAATACTGTGGTTTCACAGTTCAGGACCTAAAAAACTGGTCCATGGTGGAGGAGTTCAAGGACAAGATTATTGTAGCTGCTCTGTTCTGGCAACTCTGAAACAAAACTCTGATGGGGTTTTTTATTCTCTAAAGGATGAATTCAGGAAAATACTAAGAACTGGCATGTACACAAGGCTGGGCTTAGTTAACACAGTAGTCCCATCTAACTGTACTGTCCATGAAAGTTAACAGGACTCTGGTTGGAGCTATGACCACAAAATAATGTACAAAAATATGAGCTGTATTTCATCAATGTGTGGCTTCTTTCTGTACAAAGCATTTTAAGTACAGAGCCTCTAATCTGGTCAGAGTAGAGAGGAAAGAGCTGATACCACTAGTTAGGAGAAGCATGATCTGCAGTCACACAGCATGTTCATAGAGTTTGGAATTAAGAACTATGGATTAACATGTGCCCCTCTATAGACAGGGTTTCTTCCTCTCCATGTCTTCCCCCTAGTTTTCCCTCTCCTTGCCTGATAAATGCAGGTGCTTACTTAAGAAGATGTTTAGATGAGAGCCGTAGACACTGAAGAATGAAGATCCCTTTGAGATGTTTGTTCGTTTTACTCATGCGTGTCCCTTATAGCATTTACATAACTGGTTCCAGTATCACTTTTTCAGTAAAATCTCATCTGGCATAGCAATAGTTTTTCAGATTTTTTGCAGAACTGAAACAAATCTTTTGACATTATGGTCAAAAGGCAGTTTAGCCAACTGGGTGACTTGGGGGTTTTCCACCCACAGTAAAAATAGCTTAAACTGATTCAAGTAAACCTCTGATAGTCCAGTCAAGGAAATACATTGTGTATGATACTTCTCAAATGTTTTCAGTGGATGTAACTCTGTTGAAGTCAATTTGAGCCAACTCAGTATCTGACCAAAACATATTGCAGAATGACAGATAAAATCAAAATCCTTCTGTCTCCAGGTCTAGATTAGCTTTTCAGCAGTGCTTCAAGTCAGTTCAATTCTCTTTTCACCCAGCATTTTTCTGCACTGAAATAGATTAATCTGCAAATTTGCAGTTTATTAGCTGAATGTGTATTTCAGACTTTTTGTTACATGGCACTGTCTAGCTGCATCTTATTTTTCAGTCCTTTGTCATAAATAAATGGACAGTTATGGTTGGACTACTTACTTATGAAGTATAGAAAGTCTTTATTTTTTTATAGTTTTTATGGATAAGTATCCATTTGCATATACGCTTTTAACTCCCATTTGCAAACTAAAATTAAAAAATTAGCTTAGCTCCTGCTGAGGCCTATGCAACTTGGCTGTTAATCTTACCAGAGCTCAGGCTTTTCCTCTGGAGAGCAGAATTAGTAAAAAACTGGTACAATTTGAATTGTAATGTTCTTCTCCCTTGTAAGTTTGGATCATGCTCTCAATGCCAGTACAATCATTGAACTACTTACAACAGAACATGTGTTTCAGTACTGAGCTTTTATTTGTACTATTAGATATTAAAACATAATCAGAGGCAGTGACTCCAGTGGCATTTTACCTATACTGAGCCATGGCTATATCTAATAATGATCCTGACTACTTTGTCCATTTGATTTAAAGACCTACCTCAGGGCACTGGCACCTCTGCAGTAGGTGGCATTGCATGCCACGTATAATAGAGATAAAAAGAAATTGGTACTTCCTATAATTTTAACCCGGATGCCTCAGGTGTGTAAGTTATTTTGTTGTAATGTGTGCACACATAAAATTGTAAGGAAATATCTTCACTTGCTCCTCTCAGTAAGAACATACGCAGCAACTTCTTGTTTTCCCCTCTTTAACCATTATGGTCTGCATTCATTGTGGTATCAAGACTTAAGAGAAAATACACAATGGTTTAAATTGTTTTTCCTTTTTATAGTACCCAAGCTGCTAAGTGCCTGGGATTGACTTTATCAGTAATTGGAAAGTACTGCAGAGTTTCTAATTTACAAAATTTAGGATAATGTTAGAGAAGTCAGCTAATGATCATCTACAGTCAAATATTTTCCAAATGTAGAAACTTTGTTGGTAATAAAAGCAAAATGACACAAAACCCCCACAAAAAACCTTTCAGATTTTTGTTTTATACACTCATCTTTGTCTAAAAGCCTTTAGCAGTATGACTATGTAGTTAGCATTTGGTGTTACTTGCTAAGAAAGTTATTTGAGTAAATTTAGATACAACATTACATAAGTGATATTTATAATTTATATTGGTGCTGGAACTATTTGTAGTCATGTAGCTTTGACTTTCCAGTACACTTGTCACACATATCTAAAAGAGAGTGATATAATTTCTTTAACTGCATCATTATGGTTAAAGCAATAAAATTTGTAAGCTTGAAGTGACCCTCAGACACAGTTCACAGGTCTGCTGCTTACCAAAAACTTCCAGTAGTGACGTCAATGAGAGTTGAAGCTTCTGCATTTGTTTTTTTAGCTAAAGAGAAAAAAAAAGAAAGAAGAAGGTATAAGAAAGAAAATCAAAGCATCTACATTGATGCTAGGATTTTGCATGTGCCTTGGTTTTGGCACCTTCAGAACTGATTGCATGTGAAGTGTACATGACAGCTTTAAAACTCAGATAAGCAAAGTACAGAAATACAGGAATTTGAACACAACCCCTTCCAAGTTACATTTACAGCTGTTTTTCACAATAAGACACATACATAGCTATGTGCATATATATGTAAAAAATACTGCTGCAACTGTACAGTGGGTCTATTAAATGTCATGCTCATAGGTGAAGAGAAAGCAAAATTTTATATGTATATATTTTTTTTTTATTTTAATTTTTTAGTTTATGGAGTATTTGGTAAGTTTAGGACTCCTTCACAGCAATTAATGCAACCACACTAGGGTAGTTGGTGATGGTGAGTACCAGTTTACATAGCAGAATTTCAGTGCAAGGAGTCTTCATGGAAAATGTTATTATATTCTCCGGCTGAATTTGAATGAATACAACTGCATTTGTTTCTTCCTGAGAGGCATTTAACTCCTTTTGCAAAGGTTAATGAAGTACTGCTCATCATTTCTGCAGCAGCTCTCATAGCATCTTCCTCTTCCAGCTAGAGTCCTACTGCAGATCAAGCATCTTCTTGGATATGAGAGGGAAAGTACTTCTAAACCTAAGAACTTGATGTTTGAGTAAATAAGCTGTCATTGTACCTGTTACTTCTGCTCATTATCTGTACATATTCTTTAGAAAATGGACTCTCATGTGGCCATCATGTTCTTTGTGTCTCTGTGTGTCACACGGACCCACACTTACTCCTATGCTGCCTGAGAAGCATAAAAACATGACAGCGGGGTCATAGAGAATTGTATTTGCCATGAAGAAAAATAAAAAACCATACTAGATTTCAGGCTTCTTTTTTTCCCCTAGCAGTCAAAAACTACTTCAGAAATAATTGTAAAAATTTACATTTCTGGTGATGCCACAGTAAATGAGCTTTAGGTCGTGCTGGTTTGATTTGTTTTAACAAGTTAGGGTCTTTTCTGGGTTTTGGGATTTTGGTGTTTTTTTCTCCCTGTTTGTTTGGCAGTTGCTCATAGGTTAGTTTTCTTCTCTTGTTTTAGGACTTCAGCTACAGTAGACATATAGAAATGATGAAATGATGAAAATTGATAGTAAATAAATATTTTTAAAAACTAAATCCTGGTTTTAGCGTAAGTAATTGAATGTGCCTCTTCTTTTTCTTACAGAACGGTTTACACAGTATGGCCCTAAAAACCTTAGACAAGCCTGGAATAAGTAAGTATTTTTTTTTAATTGCATTTTTGACTCTTCAAGGATACGATTCATGACAAGTTGAAGTTATCATAGATAACTTAAAATGACTCTATTCTTTTCAAAGAAAACAGATTTGTATTGCCAATTACCTGTAAATAGGGAGAAACTGCATAGCATCGTATTTTCTTCTTGGGGATGTTAGTTGACAAGTGTATTGAGCTCATGGAGAGATGCTGTGTTATTGCTTTGGGGTTTCAGTTTTGAATCTTTTTTTCTCTGTTCATCTATAACAATTAAGAAACTTTTAAAGAATATATTGCTAATCAACTTTTGAGTGTTGTTTCCACATAATCATGCCCTGTCGCCAGGTCCATCTGATCATACTATGTTATATCTTAATTATCATGAATGAAAAAAGGTAATGTGAATTCACCATGCTTTTTTTTTTCTTTCAATGTTTCCTTATTTTTTCACATTTACGTTAGATGGGCATTGATACACAGGTTTTATGTTCAAAATACAGATAAACCAGGGATGCCTATCCAATCATCTGTATAAAGGTTACTACTAGAAAAATTCTCAGCATATGTAGAATTTTGTAAACAGGATATTTGGACCTCACTGTCTTGAACAACTAACATCTTTTATATTTTGAGAAAGCATACAGAGTTTGAGTTGGATGAGCAGGATCACAGCTATATCAACAATTTGTCATGCCAGAAAAATTGTTAGAATTTTTCTACTCTCTTTTGACCAAAATTTTTTGCAAAATGGCTAAGCCTTTGCTGCACCAGCATTGCTGTTTTCTTTCTGGTACTAATTCAAAATTTTATTTTTGCCTCTAACTGGCTGTCTTGTTGGTAGTTTACCAGGGAGTTCAAGAGATGAATCAGCAGGAAACTAAAAGGTCTCTAAGTTCACCACTGAAACTGAAGATACAAAATGTTTTGGTGAAGGAGCTTCCTTGCTATAAAGAAAGAAATTTATTGATATGAGTAGAAATCCAAATCCTTTTTCTATACATTAACTTATTAGCAATGAAGTGTGTCTACAAATGCAAAATCCATAGCATGGTACAAGGTGTGTTTAGGTTTATACTCACTTTGCCATTCTGTTATTTTTTCTCTATCTGCTCCTTCCCAAATCAATTCTGACTGAAACACAAAGGTATTTTTCCTTTAAAAAAAACCCCAATGACTTTTGAAATTGTGGTTGACTGAACAAGGAGAAATCTCTTAAGGTAGCAAGATTGTTAAAATTAGGTGTTAGTTGTTGGATGTGATACCATTGATGTTCATCCTCTGAGTCTAACCTTGTATTTCTGCAGTGCCAGGGATCTTTCATGACCTTGTACCTCACTTTGCAGTACTACTGGATCTTCCATGGTTAGCAGTAACTTCCTAATTCCTGCAATGAGGCATAAAGCTGACACTGGCTTCAGTGCAGGCCTTCACAAAGGTTAAGTGTCACTGGCTTCCATTAATTGACTTTTAACAGTCTATAGAAAAGTTCCTGGCTTGTGCAGTTCAGACTAGGAGCCTAATTTGGTGGGTTTTGTGGGTAAATCCTTCTCCTATTTACTGTAGATGGAGCAACAGGAAGATTAGCTTCACTTATATTTGGCTTTTGTGAATATCTCAAACCATTTTGCCAGTTGTTGTGATCCTTGCAGGCATCTTACAATGTTTGTCTCTACCTCAATCTTACTGCTTGGAATAATGCAATTTCCTGAAAGTCACAACTTTCCTTTTAAAAATAAAGTCACTATAATTGTCTGTATTCTGTCCCTTAACAATCAACAAACTTGCAAGTTCAATTTTAATTAGAAAGTAGTTAATGAAATCCAAAACCTTGGAAGAAGCAATTATATTACAACATAGACAATTAGATCTGGATTGGGAAAGGACAAGGAAACTAATATTGATGTGAATGTGTTTCCTTGGGGGCATATATTTGCGTAAGTAATGAGAATAGATACTGGCATGCTATTCTATCCATCCTGCAGGCCTGGACTGAGCGTTTCTATGTTTTACCAGCAGTTAAACTGTTAAAATATACAGTTATGTATTAATAAGTACAATAATGGGTTTGAATTTGAAAAGTTACTATCTTGTATTTCCTTCAAGAACATTACAGGAAATTTCTGTTTTCATATAATAGATTAAAAAAAAAAGAAAAACAACCAGTTTGCTTAAAACAAAGCCTTGGTTGCTCAAATTTCCTAATTGACACAAGTTGTGATCACATCACAGGCTGACTCAAATAAAACCATAGTTTTTTAAATTCTAAGAAACCTCTTCAAAAATATTTATACATTTTCTATGCTCTGTGCATAAAGGATTTGCAATTTTTCAGCATAAATGAAGGGATTGAAAGACTGAAAGCAATGACAATACATAGAGTTCAGTGCTTCATTTGTGTAGTTCTACTATAATAGGATATATTCAGTGCCTCAAAATTATATATGATTCACATTTGAAATGTAAAGGATTTTCTCTTTTTCAAGTGTAAATCTTTATCTGTGTGCTGTATTAGAGTGCTGTTGCTTGCACAGCTGCGGTTGAGGATGCATAAACATTTCTGTTTAAGACATCATATTCCCAAGAGTTTATAATTCAGCTGTAAAACTTAACACATGGATAGACCAATTCATTCTAGAAATTTTCTTTCTTTCTTATGGTGTTTCAAAAAGCAGCAATCTCTTAAAAAAACCCCACCTTTTTAGCTTCGTGATTTAATTTGTTGAAGATTGTTGATGACACAAAATATGTCTCATTTAGAATTGTTTTAAGGGTAGTTGGCAATAAACATGAGACCCTTGTGGAGAAAAACATACAGCTTTTTATTTTTAAATATGTATTGGTTTTGTTACAGAGTTACTTCCTCTCAACATCTTAGTACCTTAGAAAGACATACCTTTTTTGGAAGGATTTACGTGTATGCTTAAGATGTTCTCCTGTTACTGCATTTTATAGGGGAGGGGTTGAGATAGAAAGAAATTTAAGAATTTTTCACACAGAAATTGCCATAGGAACTGTACCACAGAGCACAACATTGAACTTCATACTCCCAGACTGGAAGAGTACATCTTTAATTTTCTAAACACAATGAAACTTTCACTATCTACTGTTTCATCTTTCAGGCACAGGCTGGCCCTTTATCTTGTTTATATATATATGTGTGTTTTGAGGTCCTGGCATGGAAGGGTTAGAATGTGGGTTTAGAAGCTTTCAAAGAGGCTTTTACCTCAAAATTTGTGTTATAATTCAATTTATATAAGGGGAAGTTACTAGAAGGAAGAATAATGCGCTTTCAACATCTACAGAGCCAGCTTCATGTCTGTAAGGTAGATGGAAAAGAGGCAAAAAAATCCAACCCCAAACTTCCAAAAAAGCCACAAATGGTAGTCTGGAAGCAAAATAATTGCACCTGTCCAACTGTGCCAGCTTCTACAAGATGTGAATTTTAAAGGCAAAGCAGGACAATGGAACAATATTGGACACAAGCCAATAGCTCTAATTCCCACTCTAACTGGAAATTAGCTAAAAGTATGGAATTTAACAGCAATGACAAAGTGAAACCCAGCAGGCTCATTATTTAAGTCAGATCCCTAAAATTCTTAAAATAGAATTGGTCAACATTAGAGGCGACTTGTGTGAAGTGTTTGAGGGAAATAATGTCACTCTCACAGTGAATTAAATTCTTTGGAGACTTCAACACCAAATTCCTTTACTGGTTGTCAAATTACTGAAAGATTATAGAGAGTATTTACTAGATAAGATGGAGTCTACAAATTTTGTAGAAATGCTTATAAAGTTAGGAAACAAAAGTTGCATTGACGTTTGCTTCTGTCTAGTAAGAAGCTTCACCTACACAGCATGACCTAACATACTGTGGAATGTAATTATAAAATGCTGGTCTAAAAAGAACTAAGATGTGGTAATCTGATCTTCCTATAGAGACCATAATGAATTATATTTTCACCTTTTTTCCTGAACTTTTCTGTTCAATTATCTCCACACAATAAAAACCAAGAACAGCTCTGCCTTCAGAATGCAATGCAACCTCTTTCAATTTGCAAAAGCTTCTCCACAATAATAAACCCTTACAGAAGAATAACAAAAGAGAACTAATTATCCTTGTGTATATTTGGTAGGATATAAAAAGCTTTTTCAGATCCTTCTGTCATAATGGGTTGTATTGTGAGAAATTAGGTTGGAAAGAAAAGGTGCAGTTGAAAACTAATTCTGCTCGGCATAAATAGGACTACTACTTCATAATTCCCCAACATGGCTGTATTTATTATATAAATATCACTTTATTCTCATATCCAGTCCCACTGCTGGGGATTTCTTCCTTTAACAAGATGGCCTCTGTGCCTGAGACCTCCCTTTCTGAGGCCAGGGTGTTTAAAAGTTGCATTCCAGGATGGACTGGCCTATTTTGGGACTGTTACTCAGTGAAAACTTCCTGAAGAAAGCAAAGTGAGTGAACAGAGATGAATCCATGCATTTTTCGTCTGTATTTCATTTCAAGCATGGTACAGACTATGGAGTTGCTTAAAGCAGAGACTTGGAAAGTCTTTTTGGTTTGGTGTTCTGTTGTTTGTTTTTTTAAGAAAATCTTTGCCTTAGTGGGATTTTGGCTAAAGAAAAAGCACTTTTCTAATTGTCGCTTTTATCCCTTCACCTCTTGTCCCTTCACCAGCATTACTCATTGTAACTTAGTCTATCATTCCACTGAAGGAATACTCAAGCTCTCTGGCACAGTAGAAACAAAGAGCTTTAGTGTTGTCATTGCAGAAACCTTTCTGATGGATAAATCCGACAAATAAGGATTTCAAGCAGTACTGAGCAGAGGTGGGCTGGCTGTGTGCTCTGTGTGCAGTGTGAGCACATCGCAGGGGTGCAGGGGCTGGCCCCTCACTTGCTGGCCAAGAGGGATCAGGGATCACGCTGGGGGAGCTAGGATGGAAACTGGACACAAAATGAGAAGATTTTTTAGAAGTATTTGTGATTTAG